GAAACTACACTTCAACTGAACTTCAATTAAATAGCACGAAGATTCTATACATGTAACTTGGAAGCCTCTTACTTTAGCTTGGTCTTATGCATAATTGTTTTAAATGTGATAATCTTTTAAAAATTATTTTAGTATTGATTGATATATACTGTTTTTGTCCCCCAATATTTCACTGATAATATCATGAAATATTTTTAAAAGCAGTTTTTAAAATGATTTTATATGAAAAGTCATTATTTTTCATAAAAATATGCTAGAAAAGCAAAATTTTACTTTCTTGAAATTTTTTTGTATATAAAATCAATTATGTTAAAACGGTGCAATCGTACCCAAAACAGAACTTTTAGATTTTCAGCTGAAAATTTTTATATACTTTCTGTAATTGTAATTTGAAAGATTGAACAAATAAATGAATTTTTCTGGACTTTAAAATATGTGATTGTACCTAAAGACAGGTATTTGACCTAGATTTTTACCGTATCACCTGTATACCAAACTTCATTTCAGTATGTGCAACAAAAAATCGCGATATACCGGTATACCGATAAAATCGCACATCCCTAATAATTGTTTTAAATGTGAATAATCTTTTAAAAATAAATATTTTAGATTGATTGATTGATTGTATACTGTTTAATGTCCCCCTCCAGAATATTTCACTGATACGGAGACGTCACCATTGCGGGTGAGGGACTGCAAAAAAGGCCTATAAAATGCAAAAATAGCACTTTTTGACGGCCTTTGAGCAGGGAAACTTTATCGTTTTTTAAAAGTCATATAAAAAGCATTTAATGAGAGATGGGGCATTAAAAGAGCTTCATTCAGTTTGATTTTTCATATTGTGACACCACATACATGGGGTCACCAAAGATATAACAACAAGAGATGATTGTAAAACATTTTTAATTGACCCCTGCAACATTCCAAATTTTTGGATTTTTCCTTAATGTCCAAAAATGGGCATAACTCTGTCTAAAATGGTGCAATCTTGTTTTGAGAAACAGCAAGCAAAACAGAACTTGACTTAGATATTCAGCTGAAAAAATCTGTATACAAACTAAATTTCATTTCAATTTGCAACCCCTGGATACTTTAAAATTGAACGGAAACTGCAAATATATGAAATTCTTCTAAAACAAGAATGCAAGGGGCATAACTTAAAAATAGTGTGATTGTACCCAAAACAGAATTTGACCTAGATTTTTACCTGATCAACCTGTATACCAAACTTCATTTCAGTATGTGCAATGGTTGTGAAGAAAATTTTAGGAATTTTTTACGCATTGGGACCGCCGCCCGACAGCAGCAAAGCGAAAACCCATTTAGATATCTTTTCTTCGAAAGAGGGCATAAAAATGTCCAGGGACAAGAATGCTATACTAGTAATCTAATTTCCAAAACAAATTATCTCTGATAAAAAAAACTTTTATTGAGGCCATGCTTCCTAGCCAAAATGGGTAATGTCTTAAAATGAACTTTGATCCATAAAACATGAGAATATTTCAATAACAATTCATCATGATGAACAAGACCCTGCTGTTTTGGGGAAGGTTGCTGTTAACATCTTACAACTGTTACAGCAATCAATTCCGTAGTCAAATTCAGTTTAAAAACAAAGTCTGAACAATAAGTATGAAATATGACACATGTACCGGTAGCCAAATGACGATCAAATATTAAAAATCATATTTGCTTACAAGGTCATTAAAACGACCATAAACTTTATGAAATTCTGACTTTAAACAAGGCTGTTGAAATCCCCGTAATGTCAACTTACAGGGAACAGTCTTCGTCGCATTAACAAATGATTTAACTTAACATAGCAATAAATTGGGGGACATAAACACCAGAGGCAGGTGATGGTGGACTATTACCTCTGACATGAACATGTGCGGAGAACAGATTGATGTGTTTTATTGCCCTTGGCCATTAGTTTTTGGCATTAGAACACATCTAGCTGTTTCAAGTACCTTGGGAAAAATATTCCCGTCTTTTGACTAATACAATATAATAAAATAAATGCATATTACACTATATGATCTCAAATTAAAATATTAATGAATAATATTACATCTTTAATCCAAACGTGCAAGAGAAAAACCCACTCACTAGTATTGTCAAAAAAAGCTTTCTCAAAAGTTACATGTACCTTTTTTTTTTTTTTTTTTACATATTCTTTTTTATAATTGAAGAACCTTATATCCAAAGCAGAAGACTTTTATTATCAAACTTAAGATGAGAGCTTCCAGATGATTTCTTTTTCTGTTCTTAATGATGCATTCATATCTTATGCTAATTGTTAAGTTCTAATTATCAGCAGAAATGTTCAAAAATTACTTTTCAGTGTATAAATTAGAAATCATTCATATAAAGATTATATGAAATTTAATATATAAAATGTGTGTAACATTTAGTGAAAATTATTATACTAGGAAGGGTAAATTTGAAAATAGCTTATATGTACACATGAATATATATATATGCAAAAAAAAAAAATCAAACCAGTGATGTTATTAATACAGTAGTAGCTGCATTCCCAAAAGACATTAATTAATCAGAACACACACTAAATCTGTTTCCTTATCATGCTTGTAGTATACTTTGTTTCATTATAACAAGGTAAACAAACTTACTTTTTTAGGTGATGGTTCTTTCTTTGACAATTCACCTAGGGAGAATCAATAAATTCAGTTTTTGGGAGATTTTAATTAAACGTTACTTATTTAGAAAATTTAATAACTTATCAGAGTATGCACTATATAGATACATAATTCGCCCCTCATCACCAAAACACCCAAAGAAAAGGTCTTCCTCTTCTTCAGATTCTAGATTTGAATCAGAACAATCAATATTTTTCTCAAACTAAGCAAGTAAACTATGAACTTACTGTAATTAAGATCTTATTTCATCAACTTATCCTTTATTGTCATACAAAAGACTACCTCTATTTTTTTCTCAAGTTGCCCATTTTTCATTTTGAAAATTTTATGAAAAAATTTATGTGATCGATGAAAATGTCTGTTTCCTAGTAAACTATCCAAACTAGACTGCGAGCATAACCAGATACATCTTCATCCCTTTTCAAGGATTCAGATAGTTATAGTCTAAATAAAACAAAAAAAAAACCATATTTCCATGCTGTTTTTGATCTAATGTTCCTATTTCCTTAGTTGTTTTTTTTTTTTTGTAAAAATCGCGTTAAACAAGACACTGTTGGTTATATGGCTATAAATATACAAAAGCTGATTTCAGTAAAAAAATGTCAAACTTGAGATGCTAAAAGTTCAACTCAAACCAAACAAAGTAAAATGTAAAAGTAAAAAAATATAAATTGATCTATTTGTTCAGGCAAAGACAAAAAAGGTTGCTAGTTTACTTACATTGTATGATTAACATTGTTTATATGCTTTTAAGTATATTCAATTTCAAAAAAATCATTTGGTAACGAGAAAGAAAATTTTAACCTTGTGAGCTACATAAGATTACAGACTTCTCACTTTTAAATAACAAAGACAAAAGAGCTTTAAAGAGATAACTTTGTAAGAACAATCTACTCCATATTATTTGAAAACTGAAAAGCAGGGATTAGAACATCTGCTCTAGAGTTGCAGGGTAAGAAGTTGATCTTTTCATCGAGAGTTCGAATTCCACTGTGGGATGTGAGGAAGCTTTCGGATGAGACCCAATAAATCAAGGTCCTGTGTCACAGTACGTGCTGGCACAAAAAAGATCCCTCTCTGCTTAATGGCCCTGAGTGCCGAGTATAAGACAAAATTTGCAGCTCTACACTGGCAAGTGGTGGTGTCTCAATTTGATTGAAAATATTCTCAAGGAATTTTAAACAACATACAAACCTAAAACATGGTTACTGTATATAAATCGAAACTGATTTTTCATGTTTTTTATACAGTTTTACCATCATGAAAATAAATCAATCTACATTTTGATTTTAAACAGGATTCCACACAAAAAAGGTGAAACAAAGTTTTAAAGACATCGTGTTTTACTTTGTAATCAAAGTAATTCCTAATATTTTTATGGGGAACATATCTACCCCTAAAATTGTGTTTGGGACAAAGAAAGTCCTAATACATTGAATGTTATTTTTCTTCCAAGAAATTATCAAGAAATTCAAAATTAAATGTCTGTGTACCGGGTACTTCTACTAATCTGCCTTGAATTTTTACTTTAAAAAGTGAAGTAACCGTAATAAACAACACAAAATAACACATACCCTTAACTCCTAATGCCATCCCCACTGGAACTTTGGCATAGGCAGGTTTAACTGATAAAGCATCAGGTTCTGTTTAGAAAGACATTAATTTTAAAATGAGTTATAGCATAGATTTTGTTGTGCAATGAGAGTGCTCAAAAAGTTCAAGAATTCTTAAATGATCGTTATAGTTTTGAGAAATATCTCATGGTAAAAAGCAGTATTACAAACTTTCATAATCATCCTGATCTGATTCTGAGAATTCCATTGTTGTTGTTGGAGGGGGTGGTGGGGGTGGTCTCATCTCAAGCACCTTTGGTGGGGGTTGTGGGCGTGGTATCTTCATAAGATTCTGTCGATGGGGAGGACGAACTGCTGGTCCTCTTTTCTCAAACTTAAATTTTATAAATTCATGATTAAATGAGAGCAAAATTATATCTTTTGCAAATGTGTCCTTGAAAGTACGCCTAAATGAACTAGTAGGATGATACCATAACTTGAAATGTATCTGACATTAGCTTGCTCTTATCATTCTTTTGCATAATTGTTTATAATGTCAGTTATCTTAAAATAAATACTTTAGTTTATAAATCAACTGCATATCTTTTTATATTTTTGTATCTTTCTATAGGCTATTGCTAGGAAATTAGTAGATAAAATTTTTAACATTTATTATGGTTTAAATTAATTGAATTCTTTCATTGTCGAGCATTATTTAACACCCTTTAAATGCTGTTTCTTAAAGGATATGACATTTGAACCTATTATCATTTAATAGACAAAATGATGAAAATGTCAATTCCAAACACTGTGCTTGCTCAGTACAAATATTTTTTTCTAACTCCAATTTTTGTATAGTACAACCCTTGTGTTTAACAAATAGGGATATTATATAATCTCTTACACTTTTAAAATTTACTATAACTATTTACGGCTGATACATGTACATATGTACCTTCCATTAAATGGCAGTTAGGCTGAAATGTATAAAGTACTACTTAGTAAGCTTATTTTAACTGTAATTTTGTGTCTATCCAATTGAGGACAATGTACATATTATATATATATACAGGATATAGCGATGTAGTTGATTTTGCCACACCTGATTCTGCCAAAAACACTGTCATAAATAGAGTACACAGCCTTATGTGTATTCTTTACAATATATAAATTGTTTAAAAAAAAAACATAATTAAAACCCAGTACTTACTTCCTTTGGTGATGCTTTTTTCTTTGGTAATTCGTCAACTGTAGAGAAAAAAAAGTTAACTAGTACAAGAAATTTAACTTTTGAAAAATTTTTATCCAATCTAATTTAGAAAATTTTGAAACTTTCAAAATGTATCAGTGATATTATGTGATACGTACATGACTCATCATCATCATCATCATCATCAAAAAGATTAAAAGCCATGTCTAGGTCTTCTTCTTCAGATTCTAGATAAGAATAATCAGAATATCATGCAATACTATATATATAATACATAAATTTGTCTTTAACTGAGAAGGTGACGAAAAAAAACTTATTAAATCATCTTGTGATATCTAGGTATACCTTGTTATCCATTGAAGCATTTTTTGAAATTTTTCATGATCAATAAAATTGTGTTCATCTTACAATCCAAAAAAAACTCATGTCTGATAGTTGCCTTGGAGCACCAATTCCCCATGCACTTGTATACATGATTGTACATCTTTGAATTTAAAACAAAAGGAAAATACATGCTGTCTTTAAAATAGGGTCTTGCTCTTCATTTGTTGATTCAGAAATTGTATCAACTAGACCAAAAGCTGCTAGATGTGACAAGTTTGATTAACACTTTTGTTCTACATAAGAAGATACAAATGTTAAAAAAAATTTAGTACACTGTTTACATTTAGTAGTGTAGAAAGAATCATATTAAAGATTTTATCATCAAGCACAGAAGAACAAGGTGTAGTTTCTATACAAATCTGTCTTTGATTTTTTTTCTAAAATATGAAACTTATCAAATAAATTAAAACTCATGCTTTCTGAAAATATGCCACATATTAATTATCCTAGAGGAGTGATGTATATCTACGAGCTTTAAATAAGGCTGATGGTTTATACTGTAAACCAACTTTTATTCGCGTGCAAGAAATTTTTCGCGAAGTTCATGACAGCCTCTTCATCGTGAATATTTCTCGCTGCGAACCAGTCCTTAAAGTCTCTTTGTCTATTAACAACTGATAAAAAAGGCTTGATCGTGAAAATTAATCATCGCGAACTAGTTTAACTTCGGTACATTGCGAAATAAAGTAAATAAATTGCGTATAAAAGTTGGTTTACAGTACTTGATTCATACATTTAAGAATATTAATCAAATGACAGCACTATTTCTTAATTTTTTTAAAAATTCAGATGAAAGGACAGAAACTTTTTTACACAACTAAATATAAATTTGTGACCACTGCTCATATTAATATTAATACCTGCTCAGATATGATTTCTGCTTAGACTTAGACTAGGGCTTGTGTAAGACAGTCACTAGAGATCTAGTTAAAAGTGACCTATGTATCCAGGGTTTTTTAATATGATTTCATAATATATGTATTAATTCCATTGCTGGTAACATGGGTTCCTTACTACTCATTTAGCTTACCTTCGAAAGATAAAGGAAGCTTTTCCAATACTCTTCCTACAACAGGTTTTGCTCCTATAAAAAAAGTATTCAATGCTCAAGACAGGAACCTTTCTTTTTTAGATATGTTGTGGAAAATGTAGTGAAATCACCAATAAGACAAGATATGTCCTTTTATTTGCCATGGGTTATTTTTTAATTCTTTATGGTAACACTTTTTTTTAATTTTGCAAAATTTTCAAGGAAAAATAATAATAGTGAACAATAAAATTAAATTAAAGAATTTATACTAAGTCTTATAAGTAAGTAAAGCTTTTCAAAATGATAAAAATAGTCTGAAATGATAATTGTTATAACTGAATTCTTAATACTTGTACTGATACAAGGAAGAAATAATATTTATCAATAAGTTACAAGAAATCTAACCTGTGACCTCTTTTCCGACGTACGAGTCTTTCTGTCCCATGCCAACCATCACCCCCTGATGTCTAGGACGTCCAACTGTTGTCTCAAACTCTGCGCGGGGGGCGTCATCCCCAGCAAACCCCGCCTTCATGAAAAGTGAACCCATGTCCATAATGACCGGGGATGCCTCCTTTTAAAATAATTATTCCACATTAGTCCAATTAAGACAATTATTTTGCATCTAATGAATATTTTCTGCATTGTCGACAATATTGGGTATTCTGAAGAGAGCAGTGTTAAAATCCTTGCTAAAAATTCTACTTATACAGTATATGTCTATTGATTAAAAAGGTGAAATAAGTTTTTATACAAGTCAACTTGTCAATCATGATCAGCTTTTGAAACAAGAGGCCCATGGGCCACATCGCTCACCTGAGAAGCTTTGACCATTCTGTTCTTTACCAGATTTCCCCCTTGTTATACATAATGCATCCCCACCCTATCCCACTGATCATAATTTAGACATTTTGAAATCTACACTACCCCATGATCCTTCCATGGGCACATATGTTTCAGCTTTTTTGGCCCAGTGGTTCCTGAGAAGAAGATTTTCAAAGATTTTTCCTATATATTTCTATGTAAAACTTTGATTCCCCTAT